CCGTTTTTGATGCGAGGGCCTCCCCAACGGTTGAACTCCTGGTTGCTGCGGAAGATTTGGCCAATTGTTGCCAGAATTTGAAGTCCTAATGGACCGTATATTTGCGCGATGATGTCGCCCGTATCTGAGCCCGCTGGCCACCGGACTGTCACCACGATCGGTTCCAGTTCTAGTGTGGCTCTGTAGAAAGCCAAGCCTTCATTTGTTCCGTAAAAGCCACTGACGGCCTTTATCTTTTTGGTCGGTATGGATTGCGGTCTCGCGGCTGAGGTCGGCTGGCGGCCATTTTGAACATTGCCGCGGCTAACAGCCACTGCTGGTCGCCTCTGCGACATTTTCAGGCTAATTAGATAACCATAACTACGCTCAAACAATTGAGGTCGCTGTCGGTGGCCACGGCCGCGGTTGGCCGACGGTCATAGTAGCAGCTTAGTCAAGCTTGGTCTCATCCATACATATGTATGTATGTATGTATGTATGTATGTATGTATGTATGTATGTATGTATGTATGTATGTATGTATGTATGTATGTATGTATGTATGTATGTATGTATGTATGTATGTATGTATGTATGTATGTATGTATGTATGTGGGTGTCGGCGTGGGGGTGGGTGAGGTCAGAGGGATGGGGGCCCCAGCTCGAAGTCTCGGAGTCTTAGCCCCTGTGGGTGCATTCTGTGTGTGTATGTGTGTGTGTGCGTGTGGGTGTGCTCCCCTCGGCGATAAGACGGATGTGCGTTTACGTGTGAGGGGAAGGCAAGGAGGGCGGCAGGGAAAGCCGGGGAAGAGGGGGGGTGGGAGTTGAGGAGGAGGGAAAGCGCGGGTCACCTTTGCGGTGTATTATGTGTTATTGTGCATTATTAGCTGGCCGCACTTGCAATCTGCCGGTGGCACCCCGGCTGTTAGGTTGGCGAGTATGTGAAAACTAAGGTTGCTCGTACAGGTGGTCGGTTGCGGTTGGATGTGGTTGGTGGTTTGCGTGTAACGACGCAAGGCCCATCTGAACATCCTGGGTTACGCCTTTGCTGTGTTACATTGTGTCCCAAGTAACAGGGGCGCATGAGGGTGAGTTCATGTGTGGATGTGTGCACGGCATGGTTGGTTGGTTGGTTGGTTGGTTGGCTGGTTAGTTGGTTGGTTGGGAGCCCGTAAGTTTCGAGTCAGGAAGAGTGATGATTTGGCTTTGAAACTTTAGAGCTACCTGACCACCTGAAAAGGGACAGCAGTCGGAGGCCATAGATCGGAGAGCTGTGGAAACCTCGCAGCTCGTCCACTCTGCTGTCTTTGTTTATTCTGTTGTTGGGGGTTGGGAGGTGGGGTTAGCGGAAGCACGCGAAGAGGGATTATTGAGGTTGCGCGCAAGAAAACACGGCCGGCAGCATACGCGCGAGGGCAGCTCTTTAATTTATTTCCTAAATATACAAATAGGAGACGATCTCGAACATTTATAAGTAATATATGTTGAGAATTATAAGTATAAAAAATAGATATATTATATATTATGTGCTAAGTATTACATGTTTCGCGTGTATGTGTCTTAGTTCATAGCGTACCGGCATCCCAGCTGAAACCCAGCTGGGTTGCGAGGGAGCGCATTCGCAACGGTGTCCTTCCCTCGCCCTGTCTGATGCCTGTATCCGGGGCTAATGGTTGGTGGTTGTGTTGCTGTTGCTGTTGTCATCAATTTCAGTGCGCGAAGAGTAAGTACTTGTAGTGTAGTAGCTGGTACACAGTACGGCACACTTAACAATTACAAATACGTTTTCACCAGAGCATCCCGAAAGGCCTTTTCAGCGGCCAGCTACTACAGCTACTACAGCTACTACACGCCGGGTTAGAAGGCGCGAGGCTGAGTTTATTGGTTAGTGATAAGCCGGTTGGTTGCTGGCTTTTAGTTGGTGCTGGTGTTGGTGTTGGTGTTGGTGTTGGGTGGGTGAAGATGGTGAAGGAAGGTCCAACCCACGTGAAGGCGTGTTTGTTTGTTATTATGCGCTTAGCACTACCAACGGAAATACGCTCGGATCAGCCGTAACAATGTCGTACAATCCATTCGGATTCCTCCCACGTGCGGGCAGCAATGTACCGCCTCTTCTGCCGCCGCCGCCGCCGCCGCCGCTGCCGCAGCAGCAGCAGGAGGAGGAGGCGGATATATATGGCCGTGTGCGGCTCACAACAGGGCGCTAGTCTGTGTGTATGTGTGTGGGAGGGGCCCCAATACCCCGGGGGTATTGGGGTGTGTGTGGGGACAGAAATTTCAGTACAGGAGGGGATGGAGGCAGCCTGGGGAGCTGTTTCAAGTCCTTGACGGAAATGATGATGGGGTAAAATCTGTGCTGAGGAAGGAGGCAGGCGATGCAGTTGGTAATAGCACTTGTTTGTAAATTGGCTAGAATAAAAAAAAGTTCCATGCCAAGGCTCACACTCGCGCAAGTGCTGGCAGTTCCACAAGGGGATAGAATTCGAAGACTAGGAACGGTGTCACGCAATGAGACATTTTGGTAAAGGTTTACACCAGTGCTCGCCAGGAAGGTCAGTATGACTGCGGCAAAGGGGAGTGCTCAAGCATATGCTGCCTCCCGTATAACTCATCCTCGGGTGATTGTTTACTATGGGACAATTAGGGGCGGACTATCCGAATGGGTGCAGCTGTTCGAGTTCTGAAACCATAACTGTCATGACCGTTTTACTTGCCATCGCTGATTGCCAACATATGCAACTGCATTTGTTGATTATACGATGTTCGTGGTGACACTTGTTTTCGTGTCAAAGGGTGGCCAACGTAACTAGCGGCGCGTTCTCCTGGCTTCCTAGTGGAGTCAACGGATGTGTTCTCCTTATCAATATAATTTATCAGAACAACTTTACAGATCGTTTGGTTTGGCAAATCTGCTTACATCTAAAGCTGCTGTAGGAGTCGCTTTGTGAGGATGGACCCTCTTAGCGTGCTCCGCGATTTTAATACATCAAGTAAACTACATCTTGTGCAGCAAATTGAAGGCCATATCCAATTCGGTGATAGATACAGTTTTCCAGCGGCGACACCAGTGTATAAAGCTGCTTTTGCACAGGCAACGTCTGCATACTACAGCTTGCAAGATGTCGTATTTTACCTCAAAAACCGACAACTCAAGCCGCAGGAGTATGTCATGGCCGCGAGTCAGTCGGGCGTGGCGAACATCAACATCGTCGATCGCAAGGTGAGTGCCCTACACCCTCAGCGAACTGGACAACACATCTCTCAAACTCCTATTCGGCACGGCCCAAAGACCGGCGTCACCCAATCCCCCGCCACGGCCGCTCCAACCCCAGCCTCACCTCAACCCTGACCACCCAAAGCCGACCCGCCCGAGCCCCTACTTTCCCCCAAACTTTTCACCCTTTCCCCCAAAACCTCTTTCCCGCCATGCTTTGTCGTCTCCCACCGCCGGGTGAGACCGCTGACCCGCCCTCAACTCCTCTCATCCATTCCGCCTCTCTCAACTCCTCTCACGAAATTCACACGCACTTTCAAGTTCCCCCGATTTCCCCCAAACTCTCCAACCGCCCATCTGGCCCCCCCTTTTCAAACTGTCCATCGTGTGACTGTGCAAAATCAAACACGGTGGGGGGGGGGGAAATCTGAAACTCCGGAAAACATAGAAAATCTTGGACGTGCTGGATGGCGTCACGGCACTGGACCCTTCCCTGGTCCCCTCGTCAGCGGCGGCGGCGGCGGCAGTGGCGACAGGGCCCCGGGAAACAGCTGCTGGCAGTGAGCCTCACGCCAAGAGACAGCGCCTGGCGGAAGGTGGGCGGATGCGACCCGGGACTTGGCGGTGGTGGCGAAATGTGTTGGGTTTGGTTTCGGAGAATATTTTTTTAACGTGCGCAAGCTCACTACATGGAACAGCGGTACAATGGACGCCCAAGCTGGCTCCGAAACCCCTCTACGCCATCTCGCGTTCTCCCCCGCGTGTGTGTTTTCCCCTTCCCCTCCCGCCCTCCCTGGTCCGCAGCTGATGAGGCCTCCGCCATGAGGGGCCTTATGGAGCAGGAGAGGCAGCTGCGTAACCGAAACACAATGCTGGTGGGTGGGCTTTGAGTCGGCGGCGGTGGTGGTGGCGGTCCCAGTGGTGATGATGGCGGTGGAGGTTGGGAATGGTGGTGGGGTTGGGGGTGGGATGCGGATGCGGATGCGGTAATGGTGGGTAGCGGGTGGGGGTGGCGGTCCCTGTCCTGGACATCTCTCCCCCTAACCTCCCCCTATCAGGCACACCCACCACCCCAACCCGCAATCCTCACCCTGCCCAGCTCTGGGTTTCCTCGCTGTTAACCCCCCTCTCCCCTTCCCTTCGCTTCCCGCCACGCACCCCTCCTTCCCCCCTCCTCCACCCTCCTCCTCCTCCTCGGCCCCTCACTCCTCCTTCACCAATGGGATCAGTTGGCCCCCAACAAGGACTTTCGTCGGGTGCTGGAGGTGCTGCTGGAAGTGAAGAAGCAGGTGGTCAACAGGAGACATGAGGTCGCAGCAGCAGCAGCGGCAGCAGCGGCAGCTGGAGGGGGAAGTAGCAAGGGGACTGCGGCGCCGCCGGTGCGCTGGGGTTTGGGATGGGGTGGAGGTGGAGGTAGGGTTGGGGGGGCGTGCTGGTGGGGGGGAGGGTGGGGAGTTTAGGAGGATGAGGGGGGGGGAATATATGTAGTAGAATCAGCTGAACCACAGCCGACTGACGTCCCAATCCGCCATGGCGCGCAACTGTTCTCTTGTGGCCTTTGACCTGCCTGCCAGTAGTAGCAGCAGTAGTGGTCAGTAGTCGTCCCCAGCTGGTGATGTGGAACCCAAGGGTGTTGCTGTGAAGAAGAAGGTATATGCCGTACAACTGGTGGTACTAGTAGTAGTAACTGCCAGTTGTGAGAAGGGAGTTGAGGAAACCGGTCATCGTCTCAGGCTCCGAAAGCAGCCGCCACTACGGAAATGAGTGAGTGCAAGACGAGTAAAGCGCTCCCGTGTTCGAAGCAACGCAGTGCGAGGTGTGCAGGGCGGAGGAGGGGGTTTTGCCGTGCCTGTGTTTTGCGTCATAACTCCCAACTCCCTTCACCTTTTTTCCCTATCCGTGGTTTCTTCGTTCTCCTAATGCGTGCGCACACACCCCGCACATACACACATCCACACTCATCCCCCAGGACGCTCGCGGTGGTGGTGGTTCATCTCGGTACGGCAAGGACGATCCGCGTAAGGCCCCCGGTGAGTCCCCACCTGCTCATGTGCATATGTATGTGTATGATGTGTGGGACAGCGAGGCATACCTTCACCCGTGGCAGCTACCCTGTGAAACCCTGCCTTCCCCGGTATTTCGGGGCATCTAGCCACCCTAGTCAACTTCTCAGTGGATCGCTCAGGTTCCGCACCCACCACCAGCATCAAACGGAATCTGCCGGATCGACGGCGGCCCAACTCTATTCCTGGTCGGCTCGCAAGTTGGGTGGGAGTCGGAGTGTGTGTACGGCGCTATCTCGCCCCACCACCAAAAGGACGAACAACACGGAATACTCGTTCATATGACATCCGCCGCATATGCCGCCGCCGGTAAGATAAACCCGAAGCGACCTGCTTACCCCTCGCTTGGTGGACCCACCGGGTGCCGTACCCGGCGGGGACCGCTGGCGTGTGCCCTTGAAAAAGCAGACAGCGGGAACGCTGCATCTGGTAAGGCGTACGGCAAGACGGCGACGGCGGC